AATTTTTACATATCTTTTAGTTAGAAAACATTTTTCATTCACACACATTTTTACATATTACAAATATAGAGAAACATGGATTTTCAAGGTTAATGCCGCAAACACACTGACTTGTGTTGTTGTTGACAAACAATGATTACCCTTGTGATTTTTTATTTTCGAAAATCATAAACTCATACGACAGTTTACAAATTCTGGTTTGTTTTTTAGAATTTTTTTTTTTTACTGTTCATTAGTTTTGTGTTTATTCTGAATTACTGCTGTTTATTTGACTAATTTATTATTATTTTTATATGACAAACTGTAAAAAAGTTAAAATGTTATCTGATTGTATAGCCAATATTGTTTATTTTATTCTATAATTATTTAAACATTTTTTGTGTATCAATTGACAATTGCAATTTTTTTTGTATTACTTTTTTATAACTGCTAATATGACAAAAAAAAAATAGATAAAATTGTTACCTTAAATGAGACTGATTTGTTTTACCAATATTTACACAACTTTTGAACTAGTATGATTTTGATGGAGAACATGTAATTTTCGAACCAATTAAGTACGATTTTTGATCTATGAACATCAGTGGTGCCATAAATAAAAAAACTAAGCTTACTATGTCCCATAGTATGGCCACATTGATTTTAAAAAATATCCGATTCCGGCTAATATAAAGTACGGCTTTAGTTTTTGTCCCATTTTTAGTTTCAGATGAAGGAAATCAGCAAACTCGAACACGTTACTGGGAAGTCTTACGTTTTTGTCTGGTCTTTACTTAGATTTAACAAACGACTTTTTTGCTTCTTTTTTATTAGAACGGACGTCTTCCTATACAATTATTCAAATTCTTCATTACGAAATAAGTAGAAAAATATTAGGATTGCATTTTAAACAACAGGCGTTGCTTTGCTTTGCTTTCATTTATTGCACTAATAATTATAAGACAACACAATAAAACATGCATTACTCGTATCTTTTGGTTGTTCTTTCTTGTCGTAATTATTTCTTTTATCCCTACCAGTTGTACATATTTTTTTCTTTTTATTATTTTTATCTCGAAGACTTGTTACTTTTTGGTTGTTTTTGACTTTGATCTTCATAAAACTCAGATCTTTATTATGCTGAGACAGTGTAGAGAAAATGCCAGAACCGTTTTAGAGATAGCAAGCTTCTCGTAAACAAAACAAAAATTTGAAATCTGTCCAATAGATACCTACGACGGCAAATGACTTTTTTGAAAAAATAATACGTAATGGTCTATTACAGCTCGAAAATTCCCAAAAGCTTTAAAGGTCATAAAGGCTAACGGTAATTATTAGTTATTACTAATAATAGTAATAACTAGTTTTAACCATATTTCTACAAAATATACCACTCCCGTTACATTATCCTTATCAATTTTAGTTTTCAATTTTAGGCTTGACTTCTTTTTAACACTTCCTCGCTTTTTTTTTTGTCTTTTGTTTTACTATCTGACATGTTTTCAAAATTCTTATAGAGAGAAAACAATATTCTTTAACACTTCATTTTATATTTTATAAATTATTACGCACACATATTTTGTGCACTCAATATGTATATTATAGACACCATATTTTTTTTGTTTAAGTACTAATTACAACAAAAATGTTTAATAAAATAAAACTTTTTATAAACAAAAAAAAAAAACAAATCAAACACATTTTAGCTAAAAACAAATAATTAAAAAAAAGGAGAAGAAAACCCAATACACATACGAATTTAGCATTATAATAAGTTATAACTTGTTATAATACTTGTATAATTAAATGTGGATTAATATTTTTAATTTTATTGATTTTTGGTTGTGGTCAAATTTTTTAAACTTATAATTTTAATGAACAAGAAGAAATTGTTTATATTTATAAACTAGAAGTAGGTTCGGTTCCTTAACTGCCTTGAGGATAAGAAGAAGGCAGTTGTAATCTGAAAGTTTGTAAAATCAACATAATAACAGAAGGAAAACAAAGACAGTTCAATACATCCGCTTTTACAGTACATATTTTTACAGTTAAGGATTTTGATGGAACTTGTTTTTCTTTTCGCCATCCTATATAATTGATTAGAAATAAATTATAAACACAAAAATTATTTCGGCGTCGGCTAAGCTAACGTTATGCTGGATTTTTTAAGATAAATTTTAACATAATTAACTTGTAAATTGGAAACAAAAAGTGTTATTCAAAAAAGACAGTACGCTTTGATACGATAAATAATACCCTAAAATATAAACACATTATTTTGAGAAACAAATTTAACTTGTTTTACCCTCCTCATAAATTAATAAAAAATTATTGAAAATACTGCAACCATAATGCCCAAGTCAAAAAACTAAATTTAAAAATTTTCTTTTATGACTTAATTAACAAAATTAATTATAAAGCTATAATATTAAAATGTTGTTTCCACGTTTATTAAGACAAGTATATTAAAAATAAAAATAACTTACTTTTCAAATTATAAGCAAAAACTTTTTTTTCAGCTGACCACGGATATGAACTTATCCGTAACTTAGTATGAACTTTAGTAATTAAATTTAGAAAAATATTGTTAAATTATTCGCGCTTCTTCGTCGTATTTATTTGTTCCCGTTTCCATTATTTTGTTTTTATTAATTTTATTATATAATTTTTTTTTTTTTTGGGGGGGGGGCAGAAATTTAATATCATACTGCTATAGTAGGAATGCCACCCTACATCAAAATATCATATTATTGCTGTAGCTGTCCGCGAATAATGCTGTAGATAAATTTAAAACTACCAGTTGTTTATAACAGTTCATAACCAATTATCTTTCCGAGTCAGTTGATACTGAATCGGCATAAATAAATATAAATTAAGAGTGAACTGCATAAATAAATAAATAGATCAGGCATCTAATTAACAATATTTATTTAAACTAAAATTAAAACCTTTTTTCCCCTTATTTGTTGAAAAAATTGGGGGCATAAAAAAATGTATTACAATTTTATATAAATTTAACAAAGAATATAAATAGTTCAAACTATAAAATTGTATATCAGTCTCATCATAATACAACTATTAAATTGACTGTCATTGAATTAAGATGAATAATTAAAAAATTATTGCCTGCTCGGTACATAGAAAGAGGCTAATTAAAGCGTTTCACACAGAGTACATTTTTTTTTTTAATTAACTGTGTTTGTTTAATTTAACTAACCTCAGATTGTGTCTGTTGGACGAATAACAACATTGAGTCATTCCACAATTCGTTAAAAGCAAAGTTCAACACAAACCATCCAAGCCTGTTAAAATTAACTTTTTTTGGCAGTAGATGAAAAATTTATGCCGGACCAATTATATTTTCAGCTAATAATGTAATTCAATTTTACTTTAGAGTTTTATAATAGTAAGTATTGTTTGTTCAGTTTGGTTTTAGTGGGGTGAATGAAGTGTGTCCAATTTAGTTTTTGGTCCTAGTGGAAGAGAAGGATTTTGGGAGTAGGGCCAATTGAATAAGAAATTTTGAATTTAATCAAATCAAATCAAACCAATAACTGTTTAAATGTTTCTCTGAGTTCTTCCGCAATCTTTTTTTCTTCTATATAATCTATATAATCTATCATTGTTCTTGGTTTACGTTTTTTCGTTACCTCGTTTGTTATTCCAAAACATTGTACATATATAATTTCCCTTCATCACAAAAAAAAACTGAATAACATAAATCCTAACTCACGTATAACTTCCACAATTTTATTGTTATTACATAAACCATTCTATTTTTAAGTATACTCATCAATAAATCTATTAGCTAGCTGTAGTTTATTCTATCGCCGCTATTTTAGGTTAAGGAGAAGATTTCGGGAACAAGACTGCTTTTAATTATTTAGTGAACTGGTGTGCATTTCTAAAACATCTTAATTTAGAAGACGACAACGATAAAAATGAATCGGTTAGTAAACTGGTAGTTTTAAACTTTTAAAACTTTTAATTACTGCAATAAATGAAACAAAATTATTTTTCACTAAAATGAATGCACAATTAACTGTCACAACTAAATTTTATAAAATATTCAAACGTGTTTTATGCGTAGGAAGAATAAGATATCAAAAGTTATGGCTTAACATTATCGATTTTTTCGAAAGGCTAAATTTAATCAAAAATCAATACACTGCCTCTTTCCGGGGATTTTTAAAAGTTCAAAAGCACTTTTTACTTAATTAGGAATTTTTCCTCATTCCGGGGATTTTTTTTTTTAATACCTTGGATCATTTTCAAATAAGTATTTAAGTCCGAATAACGTTTGCTAAGGACCAATCCGCAAATTTTACAGTACCATCATAAAATGTTCATAATGTGCTGACAAGATTATTTAAGGGAATTTTTGGAAGTAATTTGATTTTTTAAAATAGGTTTTTCTAAACCTAATTAAAAAAAAATATTTCATCTCCTGAGACTGGGTCATATTTTCATAATATTTTCCAGGACTTTACGGCTTTTCTGGTATTTTTTTCAGAAAGCTAATGATAATTTTAATTAAAATTTGTAAATTTCAAAAAGAGTCGTCTCTATAAAAATGCCCAGAGACATAGAAACAGAGAATAAACGACCCCGCAGCAATCGAAATAGTTTAAATAATTATGTGTAATTCGAATTATGGTCGTTTTCGCGGTTTTGTTCGTTTTGGCGTTCTCGCCCAATAGGTGTACATATTGTTTTTCGTACAAAGTCGCATCACTATTAATAATTATTATCACTGTAATAAGGCCGTCGACAGCTGCAAGGAAGGAGAAGGAGTTTGGGACTTGGGACTACTCGGGAACCGAGGAGACGGCGATGACTATAAATAGCCAACGTTAACGGACCGATAATAACCGTCGCGTTTGCTGCACACGATATGTGTAGTAGTCCGCCTGTGTATTTTATTATATTATAATATACATAAATATTGTGTAACCGCCCACGAGTGTTTACATCTTAGCTGATACAAATAGAAATAGACCAGGCCGACCAATAGCAGTCGGTTTTGTGTGTCGATCCATTGCTTAGGGACTCGTCTTGGACAAAACCGTGGCCGCTTCACTTCTCTAGTCTCCTGGAATCCGGTGTGAAGACAGCTGTTGTGCCGCAAAAACGAGCTCAGGTTGGTTTTAAAAAAAAATTTATATATATATATATTTAAAAACATAAAAAAGACGACTATTGGAAAAAAAAAAGGAAAACAATTTATTTTTGTTTACTTTAGTCGTACCGGGCTTGCTGTAAAAGAAATATTCTATCCAAACAACGGCATAGCAAGTCGAATAATAGACATTTTACATGCAATTATTATAGTCGGACGTTTCTTTTTGTGTTAGTTAAGCTAAATAAGTTTTCATTTTCGAATTGTTTTTTACATTTTTTATTTGGTTTAAAAAAAAATAGGGAGAAATTAAAGAGAAAATATTAATTTAATATTATTGTAATTATTGTATCTTTTTTAAATACAATATTTAATATGTATTAGCTTAACTCGCACCGGTTACAAATTGCATATTTATTATTAATAAATTAAATAAATACTTTAAAGTATTAAATAAAATAATAATTTTGGTATTACCGCATTTTAAAATTATTTGTTCTTTATTTTATTATTTTTTTTATTTCAGATTTTCTTGACCAGCCTATCACACCAAACTAACCAACCATGGATGACGAAGTGAGTTTAACTTTTTTTGCATGAGAAACAAAAGTATTGAAAAAACGGTTTTCTTGCATTTATATGCCATTTCACATAATGTCAGTGAAAACGATAATATGCAAAATAATTTTTTGTAAAAAGTAAAACGATTTGGATCAAATTGCACACACAAAATTTTTTAAATAGCCATTTTTTTAATTTTTTTTTTTATTTTCTAGTTGCTTAGTTAAGCGATAAAATATAGTTTACAAGTTCACAAACTCTATTTTAAAAAACTCAGGTTTAAAAATTAAAAATAAAACCAATAAACGGTACTGTGAAAATACCGATAAAATGTTCGTTTACTCCGACTTTTAATTTGTGAATTTGCTTTTTTTATCCGTCAGGCGAGGAAAGCAAAGCAGGCCGATATCGACCGCAAGAGGGCCGAAGTACGGAAACGCATGGAAGAAGCTTCCAAAGCTAAGAAAGCCAAGAAAGGTTTCATGACTCCGGACAGGAAGAAGAAGCTTCGTGTAAGTATACACCTGGCGCACCTTGACAGCTTATTACCAAGTTAGGTTAGGTTTTTTAACAGGTGTTTTGCACAGCTGATGTTGATCTTTAGTTATGTGCTATGTTAACAACATGTTATTGGGATTTGTTAGTTGCTGTTGAGAAAGAAAGCGGCCGAAGAACTGAAGAAAGAACAAGAGCGCAAGGCGGCCGAGAGGAGAAGGATCATCGAAGAACGGTGTGGACGCCCCAAGAACGTGGACGACTCAAACGAAGGTCCGTTGACGTTTTTGAAATGTTTTCTATAAATAAACCAAAAATTATGAAAATACTGAAACGCTTAGACCCCTAACCTAGGCTATTGCTGTTATAAATACAAAAAAAAATCTGTTGAGAAAATTGAACGCTATTAGTCTTAATTAGACAAATTATAAAACTCTACAATTTTTCCTTTGCTCACACTTAATATTTGGTTCATCTTCGACGACTTCTACTTCCAGTATTCCAGACAGCACGTCTTTTTTTTTAATGACAATATTATTTTTGACACGGAAAAATTGTATATATACTGCAATATTTGCTTAAAGATGAGCGATAATAGTTTTTCTCCAGATGGTGCTGTTGGGGGGAGCCTAGTTGCCTTCAATTAAAGTTCAATTCAGTTTAAGAAATAATTTTTATCGAGTATATTATAACTCCAAAAATCCAAAAGTGTTTACTAAAAATGCAACTTGTAAAACTGTTAATTTTAATGAGATTTATCATACAAAAATTTCATATACATATGTGAAATCATAATAATCCATCCCTTTTTTGTACATGTTATTACCAATTGTTCAAAACGTCCACTGAGGAAGCACCTTTTTCTTAGTTTTTATGTGTTTTTTTTGAAGAGCTGAAAAAAACCCTTCCTGTTTTGATTATTTTAAAATTTGCTTGTCGAAACACGTTTGTAAATCAGTTTGTTCAGTTTTTTCAAAACAAGCAAATTACCAGAATATAATATTGGAATATTATAAATTTATCGACGACATTGTGCTTTAGATGCGATCAAGAAGGTGATAAAGGAGTATTACCAAAGGATCCTCCAGTTGGAAGATCAAAAGTTCGACCTGGAATACTTTGTCAAAAAGAAGGACTTCGAGGTTAGCTATTTTTTTCGGGTCCGGCGCAACGCATAACAACGCTTTCAAATAATAATACTAATACTAATTTAGAAAGCGCAAATAATAATAATAAGTTAGAAATTAAAGTTTTGCGCTACTCGTACAAATGACAAGTGAGTCATAAAATATGTCATAAATTCTCTGTTATATTTGTCCAGTTTTTGTCAACGTTTCCAGAAGTAACAATCAAAGTGTAGAACTACTTTATAACGAGTGTTGCTTAAGTTTTTTTTATTGATTTTAACTAATTGCTATCATATCATTTTACTTCTTAAAATTCATCAAGCCCGGTTTTTGTACCTACGTAAGGTGATAATCTCGGTATTATTTTCGGTCTACTCTAAAAATATACACGTGAACAGTTTTCGCTTCACGAGTTTGTTAAAAAATGAAATATTATTATTATTTTTATTTTTATATATATAACGATTCTTGTTTTTTGGCTCGACATCAACGCACAAGGCCTAAGATTATTAAGACACTTCTTCGCTCGCACAACTCTTTTAGGGTCATTTGCCAACTCAGAAACGACTCCGAGTCATGGCTTCGAGTTACCACAATTATTATAAAAAGTGTGCAGCAACATGAGACATAGTTACAAAACTCCCATTGATGGTTATGTTGGTTGATAAAATGTTTTTTCGTGATATTAATTTCCTCGATAAATAATAAACTGAATAAGAGACAACAATAATAACAGCAAAACTTAAGAACTTTTTTTAAAAATGTCCCTAAACTCGAATGTCACCCTTAAATACTCCTAACACTTCTAGTTACTTTCAAACCGCCTCGAGGTGGTGTTTTAATGTATACAATCGCGCATTTTATAACTTATTTGGACAGGTATCAAATGATTAATGAGGCGTGAAACATGTTACATGATGTAAAATGAATCACTCACACCCACAGTAAACAAAACATGGAATTATAAATAGAATGCGGTATTAAAATATTTACAAGCCAAAAAAAACATATTTAAATCCTGTAACTTTGCTAGAGGCTTGAAAATAGATTGAAATTATTATGTTTTAAGAGTTGGTTTAATATATTTAACTATAAGGGGCGAACAATTTTGTAAAGTTTGTAAACACATAAAAGCCACCAAAGTAAACAGTTAAATTTTTTGAGTCACTTTTGGAGTTTTTTTATAATAAAAAAATGTTTTAAAATCATTTTTATATTGTTTTTTATTCGAATAAACTTATAAATAAACTTATTAATATTCAAATATGAACAACTTATTAACTTTGAATCACTTTTATAATTAACTTATTAAGTAAATCAAGTTAAAGCAGGCTAAAGCATAGTCCAAGTTTTATCATTTTAGCCGTTGGGCTTTAAGTAGACTATAACTGTCGACCAATATCTAAAAATTAAATGCCTTGTGTTTGAAAAGCTGTTTGAAAAGCTAGTAAAAAATTCAAATCAACTGTCACTAATTCAACCGTTTGATAAAAAATTGTTTTTAAAAAAATACCAAATAGCCAAAACTTTGGCGGTATATTATTAAATTTAAATATGCAAATTCAAATAACTATTCGAATTTTCTACTATCCTAGTACAAGTTTGACCTACATTCTCTCGGGCGCCGTCGGTCGTTATAAGTATTTTTTTTTTTTTACAAGAAAAAGTTATATATAATATAAACTTAAAAATAGACGATGATGTTACTCGTCTACAGAGCTACGAGCGACTAAATAAAAAAAGTGTACATATGTTTAAAAATATGTGGGTTATATGGTCGAATGAACTCGTTACAATAAAAAAACCTAACCTTTTTTAGATAACATTTTTTTTTAGGAAATTCTGGTAAAACAAAAAAATTTTGAATGTTTTTTGGATTTTTTTTTTTACCATCAGCTGGCCGAGATGTGGGAAAAACGATGTAGAGTATAGACAGTCAATTAATCCATTGGATACAGATTTTAGAATAATGATAATAACCAGAAGGTAATTTGTTCAAAGGCATGCACAACCCTTTTTTTCCGGTGCCTTAAACCTAATTTTGAATACCACAGAAACGCATTGTTTTAAAATTTGGAAAAATAGCCTTTTTGTACACCTAAAACTTACTATAAAAATCAAATCAAACTTGGCAGTTATAATAAAGATCCAAATAATAATTCATAGAATGTTTAATTGTGTGTTAATTTTTAAAAAAAGTTTAGTTTTACAAACTAATTAAAAAAAATTAGTTATTGTACATTTTTTTTTTGTAAAAATCTTTATTTTTCTTAAATATTTTCAATATTTTCTACAAACAATTATTTCAAATAATAAAAAATATTAAACATATTTATAATAAATAAAAAAAATAAATACATTTTTGTTTCAAAAAACTTGAATTATTAATATTTTTAATTTTCAATTGTTTGCTTTTATCTATTTATATTTTTTTGATTTGGTACTAACTGAACAGCGGTTTTTTCCTTAATTATATTTTGTGTTACTTCGTTTGCTTAGATAAAGAAAATGTGTAATTTTAAAGGAATTTATTGGTTTTATTTTTATTACAGATCAGCGATTTGAACACCCAGGTCAATGACTTGAGAGGAAAATTGTAAGTCCAAATGATTTTGTATTTTTCGAAATTTTATTTTTTATTTCGTTTTTTTGTCAACAGCGTTAAACCGACATTGAAGAAAGTGTCGAAATACGAAAACAAATTCGCCAAACTCCAAAAGAAAGCGGCCGAGTTCAACTTCAGAAACCAACTGAAGGTAGTGAAGAAAAAGGAGTTCACCTTGGAAGAAGAAGACAAAGAGGTGAGTGTCCAAATTTTCAATTATTAAAAATAAACTCTAATATTGACTTAATTTGGGTCTAAAATTTATTTGGTAAATGTTATAAGTGAAATATTAATAGATCACGTTCATTTTAAAAACCAACTTCACAGCTTAATTTTGTTGATTCGTTTGTTATCAATATAGATAGCTCATGGAGAATTTTAACCATTTTTTTATCCAAGTTGCTTAGGGAAATTATAAAAAAATCTAGCATTAACTATTGATCAAACAATTATCTAACTAAAATAAATAAATTGTCTAACAATTAATTATTGATATTTAAACGTTATGTTTTGTTTGCAGAAGAAGCCAGACTGGTCGTTGAAAGGAGACGAAAAGAAGCTGGTGGAAAACGAGGCATAATTCTGTCCTGTACCTTCTGCCTGTTGAAAATGTTTTTTTTTTTTATTATTAATCCGAGATTTGTTATATTAAAAAATAACAACGAGGTTTGTCAGCAACGCACTTTTCATCTAATATAATAATTATACAATTCTGAAACACCTCGTTACACACGCCTCGTATTTTAACATTATATATTTATTTATTTTTTATCAATATTCTATAATATCATCGTTAGGTAGCACTCTAGCACTCTGGTAGAGCATGCAATTGTTGTATTGTTGTATTAAAAAAATATTTATTGCTCCAAGTGGGGGCGTACCATAAACGATTCACATTGGTATATTAGACGCCTATCTTGTGTGCCTAGTAATGGTAGTAGTGTATCTGGAGATTTGTTACACACAAAAAATATATGATATCTATACCTATATTTAAACAGCTTATAAATTATGATATCATTTATTATCATTAATCTATATATATATATATTTGTCTTTTAATTGTATTTGGTTCGATGTCTTAATTTTCCAGTACTACTTTTTAAATTATTCTTGATATTTAATAGTTAAAGTAGTATAGTTAAAGACTGCCACGTTGAGGCTTAAATCCTAATGGTTTTTATACTTCAAACCGTTTTATCGATTTGTAAGTGTAGAATCATTTGGAATTTTTAACAGAAGTCCAATACTTTACTAACGACACACTCAATATTGTCTTGCGTGCTTACCGGTGGCGTGTCTTTCAGCACACTCATCCAAGTGTAGCCCACGCAATGACTTGTGATTCGTTAACCGGTTTATATCTATAAAGTGGCTAATTGCGTGGGATTTTTTTTTTTTACCATTTAACCCTCTAATAAAGACATAAGCCAATTAAATATTTTAATAGCTCTTTGATTTTTTATCTATTGGAGTTATAAAATATAAAATAGTATTAGGGCATACAAAGCACATCAACAAATACGCCTAAGAATTATTAAACCGATAATTTTGGCCAGCGCTAGGTCAACTGGAAACATTCGGTGCGGCTGCGGAAAACTGCATACTTCCGTGTGGCTTCGAGGGCGGGGTGCAAAAAAACTGCCCAAAATTGATAATTCTTTAATTTAACCCCAAAAAATTAAAGAATCATAAGTTTCAATAGGCCACGGAAACCACATTTGTAATCAGTTTTAAAATTAGATTGTGTTGGTTACAGTTTTTATTTCGCTAAAAGTCACAAGTAAATAAAACGAAGTCAAGTAAAAATGTCGAAAAGATTGGTACCATTTTCGTGGGCGGCAATCTTTAAACGCGTGTCCGATGTAGAGAAATCGGCGTTTTTAACTTTCAAAGAAAACCCGATTTAAAATTTCAGGAAATTTTCATCAGCACCGGTGAAAATCGACTTATTTATTTATTATGTATACTCGTACTTACAGACGGAAATACATTTAATTTTTAGATATATAGATAGTAATTCCATCAGCAGCTGTCGACCTGTAAAGAACTGTCTAAATTGGAAACCGTAAAATATAATATAAAAACTGTGTATAAACTAAATATAAACTAAATAAACTATGTAAAAACAAAGGATATATAGATAGTACATTGTTATTGTTTTTTTTTCTCATCTTATTTTTTACATATTGTATACTTATTAGAACAATACAAAGAAACATGATAAAAACCAATAATTAAACCACTTAAAAAAGTGTAGTTAGCCTTTTTTTAACGTCAAAAATAAAAAGCTATATTTCTGATAAGATGTACTGCCCTGTAATAAAATAAAATGATGATTCCTTGTCAAAAAAGTAATTTTGTGTATATTTTTCCACTTTATTTTGAACATAACATTAGTGATCTTTTATCTTAATAACTATAAAGAAAAATAAAATACATGATGGTCTAATGCAGCTTAAAAAATTTCCAAAGTTTTACAATAACGGTAATTATCGTTTGTCTTAATAATTTGTTTACCGATGTTGTGAATACACAACACAATAAAAATATCTATTAAACATTTTTTTTGTTCATACATAGCCACCTAGGAATTTTAATTATGGAAAGTTATATTTCTACAGAATATTCCATAAAAGTTTGAAACTACTTCGAATATTAAAAAAAAAATGTTTTAGCATTGTAACTTTTAAGCAAATTTGTTGGGTGTTTTTCATGATTTTGGGGTAAACTCTTTTCTTAACTTAATGATATAAAGTTGTGAAATATGATAAAGTAGAGAGAAATCATTTAAATAAAGATGGCGTTTAACGCGATTGGTAAACAACGGGAAAGAACAGATAGTTTGAAAATCCATGAAATACTCGCCCGGCGTGTATGGATATTGTCTTGATAGGATGGCAGGCAATGGTAAACGGAAATAGGAAACATTTTATGTGTATTGTTTCTCGAATTTACTAAGATCACATACTGAATGTTATATCATCGTATGGGCTGCAAAACGTAAGTACTTAATATTATCTCATTATTGATTTACGACGAAACTTCATTATTATTAGTAAATGTCTTTGTACAGTTATTTTTTTCGACAGGTTTTGATAAACGCCATCTTTAGTTAATTAATTTCCCACTATTATATTATTTTTACAACTTTAAATCATCAATTTTTCTTAGTTAAAAAAACATAATATATAAGCTTCAATTGGAAATGTATTTTTTATTTTGCACAATGTTGTTCTAATTTTTATTTTTATTTTGGCCTACGATATTGTAAAAACTGCTGAATCGGTTTATGCAAGTAGAAAACCCATAGATCATAAATCATACCGAAAAAAGGTAATTCAACTTAAGATAGGTGATAAAGAAAAGAGTTTACCCCAAAATCAAAAAATACACCCACATACAATAACACAAATTATTTTTTTAAATATTCAAAGAAGTTCTAAATTTGTATAATTGGTATATTTTGTAGAAATACGGTAACAACTAAAATTCCCAGTTTGCTGTGTGTGAACGAATCAAGTAATTGGATAACATTTTATTGTATTGTATTGTCTATTGGCAACAATGGGAAAGAACTATCAGTTCTTTGGTTAGTTTGGTTAGGTAACATGCATGATATACGGTTGTTATACACGGTTGTTTTTATTCAACGGAAATGATAATTATTACACTTAGGTATAGGCGTTTCCTGTTCCCTGCTGGCGGTGTGGCGAACGAGGCCACTTCAAGGCGAACTGCACTGGCTAATTGGGGAAGGCTAAGGAGTTTAGCAGGGATGACGTAGGTCCCGATTGCCGTGTCCGGACACGAGGGCAAGATCTCGGTTCTCCATAAAAACCATTTTTTTATGATGAGTAGCAACAAGAAGAAAGCTAGAGTTCCTACTGGGAGGGGTCGGACCCCAAGGAGCGGCAGGTCGGGGTGGCTTGCCCGACAGGTCGACATCGCGCTCAGCCATCAAAAGTGCAGGAACTTCACGGGGTCCTGTGGCCAGCATCGGAGCTAGTACCGCGACCGTAGCTGAGGGTGAAAAGCAGGCCCTAGCTGGTAGTGATTAAGTCACTTTTTTACAAAAATATAGGTAACCTTCGGTCAAAGTAAGTTTCAGAACTCAACGACATTTTGGCTTGGGAGGCACAGAACTGCCGAGCCTCGTGTGGCTTTAGGCCCACACACTAAGGTAACATACCTTAGATAAAAAATCACTAATATTATGGACTAAATAAAGAAGAAAAATGTACATAACATTGGTTTTTGCACGAGATAGGATGGCAGGCACTGGTAAACGAAACAAGAAAAATTGTATATGTATTGTTTCTCGAATATACCAAGAGCACATACTAAATGTTGTATCATCGGTCAAAGTAAGTTTCAGAACTCAACGTCGTTTAGGCTTGGAAGCACAGAACTGCCGAGCCTCGTGAACAAGTTCAAGTTCCTACTGGGAGGGGTCGGACCCCAAGGAGCGGCAGGTCGGGGTGGCTTGCCTGACAGATCGACATCGCGCTCAGCCATCAAAAGTGCAGGTACTTCACGGGGTCCTGTGGCCAGCAACGGAGCTGGTACCGCGACCGTAGCTGAGGGTGAGAAGCAGGCCCTAGCTGGTAGTGAAACATCTACCGACAATACTGCAACGTCACATGGAAAACTTGGATTTTATGACAACGATTCTACTGATGACGCGAATGGTAATATTTTCAACAATAATTAAGCAAATTGTCATTAATTGAAAAAGTTTATCAAATATTTTAATACATTATGTCCAGAGCGTGATTGATAATGTCTGTAGTTGATTACATTCCTATCGCATACCTTTGATTATTTTTTATCTGCTTTAGTCCCAACTATAACTAAGTTGTTTGAGGTGTTAACATCGGATACATATGCCACAGCTAGAGCATTATCTCCAGAGGGCTTACCCGTGGCCCATCCGTTCACCGAACAAGACCGGATTGGATTAATTTTCGCTCAAGCCATCAAGATCCTGATAACATTGAGTACTATTCCACCTAAAGAGTTGGCTGCTAATTAATACCTATAGTAAATCTGATTGTAACCATGTGTAAACAGGGGACTCTCTCTGGCCAGTTTATTGACAAAATACGCAGGGCTGTCCAGAAGGATATTGGAAGGAACGTTAAGATCACGGCTGCATACATAGGAAGTATATGGGGGCGTATGGGCAGTATATAAAGAAAGAAGATGTAGAGTCTCTCATGACACATTTTCTTCAGAATAATATGAGTGAGTCGGTGCGTTGAAGAGTAACGGTGCAACAAGCTAAGTATAAGGCTTTGGCCTGGCATTTGATTGAGACTATAGTTCCAGGGCAACTTACAAGATATCACTCGGCGTTAGATGTGGTGACAATTAGCTGGTACAAACGTTTTATAACACTAATTAAGTAATAGTATTAAATATTATTATTTTTCTTATGATATACTTTTGTACGCATTTTAGGGTCAATAAAATAAGCACATTAGGACGATAAAACAGGTTATCACAAAAGAAAGGCAGTACAGTTAATATTATCTTGCTTGCTTACCGGTGGCATGTCTTTCAGCATACTCGCCCAAGTACAGCCCACGCAATGTCTTGTGATCACTAACCAGCTGCACGTTTTGCAACGTACATAACCAAGTTAAGTACTCGACCACTATCTATAAAGTGGGCAATTACATATTTCTAACCGATTATACGTCTGGTAACGTACTT